AGTTCGATCCTTTTTAATTTCTGAAACCATTACAAATGGGAAATGAGGAATTGAACCCATGACCAAGGCCTTAAGAGGGAAGATGTGCACTATCATACCGTTTGTGACTATTATTATTATATTATTGTTTTTTTTTTTTTTTTGAAAAACAAAAGAATTTATTAAATGTGGAATACTGGAGGTATTCCAACCCATAGCTTACATACATTAGCAGGTGAAAATGATTTTGTTAATCACTGGCTTCTGCAGAAAAAATGTAACAAATTAAAGTTCCTGGGAAAAGGGTCCAGTTCAAACTCTTTCTTTCATGTTGACATTGCTCTTTAAACATTTGGTTGGGTTTTCGCACCAATCTTGTAAAGAGAACCCATCCATTCCTGCAATATTTTTTGCCCACTAAAAAGATCGAGTTTGAACTAGTTGAAAAAAGCAGTCTACATTTGCTTCCTTTGCATTAAAAATCCTGTCATTCCTTCCCAGCCATAGTGTCTAGACCACTGCAAACCAGATGATATTCCACCCTCTATCAAGTATTTTTGGGCCCCCATTCCATTTGTGTTGATCCAGAATCATCATACATGAGTTACCCAACACATATTGCTTTCCCCACCATTTGTAGCATTTCATCCATAAATCAAAAGCCAAGTTGCAATTAACAAACAAGTGGTCGGGTGTTTCCATTAATGTATTACACTAACATCATCCTAGCTTTGTAATGTCCTTTAAGATTCCACGATTTGCTAAATTATCCTTTGTAGGGAGTTTCTTATGAAGTAATTGCCAGCAAAAAGCACTTACTTTAGGTGGGATGGAGGCCTTCCACATCCTTTTGAACTCTCCAGCAGGTCTATTGTTTTTTGGTACATATGATTATTTACTATACAAGAATTTAAAATCTTAAATTTTTAATCGTTAAATCACTCTATTGGATTGTATCACTTTTATTTATAAAACATAAGATTTGCTTTTTTACCTGATTGATTAATAAAAAATTTGTTGAATCAAAGCAATAATCTTTTCCCAATTTT